TACGTACTTGTTTAACATATAAAATATGTTTACATATTTAACAAGTGTCTTGAGCACTCGCTGTGTGCCAGGTGCTGTGCTGAGCACCACTGGGTACAAAGATGAACTAAAATGTGGGTGCTCCCCAAGGCACCTGAGGCCAAGCATGCATAAAGGAAATGGACAAAACCATGGGGTTGAGATGAGAAAATATTAGAAGGAGGAGGGAGAGGAGGAGAAGAAGGTGGGCGAGGACAGTCCCTTGAGACAGATGTCTAGGTGGGAGGAGGATGATGGATCTGAGAAGGAACAACACAGGGATGGAAGGAAACAGAGAACGCCACTGCCAGAGTCTGCTGGGGCCCGACTTCATGGATTCACCCAAAACCATGCAGGCCTTTTACCAAGCACAGGGACACAAGGGATGCCACGCAGGGCCTGAATTCCAAAGGCTTGGGCCCAGTGAGGAGCCTGAGCTTCTCAGTGTGAGGAGGACGTGCCAGGCCAGCTGGGAAGCCCTGTGGAAAGCAAATCCATGTGTGGACTGGCCCAGGCTGTGTGCCTCACAGAGGTTAACAAAGTCCTCCCATCACCAGGTGGCCTGAGCTGGCTCACTTGGAACTTGTTTGTAATAATTTTGACTAAGTTAGTTACTTAGTAAGGCTGTTCACCCTATATTGACCGAAGCATAGACTCTTTTGACAGTGGCCCAATTTTGATACTTGTTACTCCTGACTGCAAGGTATGGATCACAACGGACAACATCCTCAGCACCCTACAATGTACTGGCCACACTGTTCCCCCAACAACTCTTCAACACCACACCTCCAAAAAAAGTTCAGCCCTTCCATCCAAATAAAGAAAATGTATGGCTCGTTGGGCACAGTGGCTCATGCCTATAATGCCAGCAATTTGGGAGGCTGAGGCAGAGGATCGCTTCAGCCCACAAGTTCAAGACCAACCTGGGCAACATAGTGAGACCCCATCTCTACAAAAATTTAAAAATTAGCTGGATGTGGTTGTGTGTGCCTGTGGTCTCAGCTACTTGGAAGGCTGAGGTAGGAGGATCGCTTGAGCCCAGGAGGTAAAGGCTGCAGCGAGCTATGATCACGCCACTGCATTCCACCCTAGGTGACAGAGTGAGTCCCCGTCTCTCCAAAAAAAAGTCTACATCGAGATTCACCAATGCACATCACTCCTATGGGGCCGTCCGTCTCCTGGTACCCGGATCAGGATGGCAGCACTGTTCTTCAAAGCTCATTCCATCCTAAGAGGTCACCATGGTTTCCTGCCTCCGTCCGATCTCAGATTTGCCATACCACTCCGATCCTTTCTGGGACTGAGTTTTCTGCCTGGGTGATGTAGTCCAATTAAAAGTGAAAGAAGGAATGAGACCAGTGAGATCTAACCAAAGAGAACCAAAACCAGCAAAAGCATTCCGGGGAGAACAGGCAATCCTCCTCCAACTTTACCCAGTGTTTTTGAGCCTTGCATTTCTCCATTCAAAAGCTATTTTAAAATTTTTGAATTGGTCCTAAACAATGGTTGAGGATTTTAAAATATGACTATCTATCCTGTTTAAACTCCTTCAGTGGAAATAACTGAAAACACTACCTTGTTTCTTCCTTCTGGGATTTCAATGTTTAAAACACATCATGTGTTTTCATTCTCATACAAAACTCTTTGTAAGAGTTTTCTTTACATAGTGATAACATTTTTAAAAAATTTAACTCCATTAAGACCAAATAATGCTAGCAATGCAAAAAGATCAGGAAAAGACCAGTGGGTTCGACTGGGGGTTAGAATCGGGGTTTGTCTGTATTACTGAAGGGAAAACTATGTCACACACGCACAGAATTGAACCTAACCAGGTCACGTTCCCCTGAAGGCCAGCAAACTGTGAATCATTCTAAAACCCTTCCATATCTGGAGTGCTCACTGAACCAGATTCCTAAAGGCAAGCAAACAAAAAGCTGTTCTTTTGCAAGCTTTTGCTGGATGCCCAAATGTGTCAGAAGAAGAACAAGTATCTACTAGCAGGTTGGCATTAAGAAAAAAGTCAGTATTAGAGAGGAGGGAAAAAATTTCAGGGAGGCTATGTCACTGGAGTTCTACAGCAGCTCAAAAGCTCAGAGTAACAAACGCCTGGCCACCAGGTGACTCACGCCCCTTGCTGCCAGGCACATGGAAGGGTCGAGTGGGGAGGCACTCGCGTGCACTGTGACAACCTCTGAGCGGCTGGAGGTGCAGTCAGGCCAGTAAGTGCCCCCGGCTGGGCCGGGAAGACCGGCCTGCGCTCTGATCCTGCCCCTCTGGTATCGTTCAACCCAGTCAAGCCTGTTCAACAATTTCTTCTCTAAAACAGGCTCTTTGATGCAGCCTCATTTTGTGTTCAGTGACATGAAAGAGATACTGATGCTGATTATCAAAGGCATGCCTCCCGACCACAAGCAGCTAATGCCCGCGGGAGGTAACATTATCTCTTCCTCCAACTTCTGCATCCTCCCGCTGGGAAGGGCTCAGTGGCCGCAGAGAACATCTTTTTTTCCCTACTAATTTCACATCGGATATTAATCCGAGTGGGAGGAACATGGATTAATACCTTAAGCTTGTAGGTCACACTCAGGTGAACATGCTCCATGGATCTAAATGCCACGGAGGCAGAGAAAGCTGCTTCCTGGGGCTCCTGAGGAAAGAGCCTTCCCTGAGAATCCCCTGGGCCATCGCCACCCCTGGCCCACCCTCTAGAGGCCCATTTCGCCATCCCATAGAAATCTGTGTTAATAACATCTTCAGAATAAAAGATAGAGTACCTTCCTATCCTGGGATAATTCTTTTCCATTCTAAGCATTCAAGATAAAATGTCCAACAATCAAGGTGTCAAATAAACCCACATGTTTACAGTGGAATTGCATACAATTTAAAAGGATATTTCATGATGGGCAAAATGTTCATGACATATCAAAAAGAAAAATTTTTTGATTACAAAACATTATGTACAGCATGACTTCCATTTTGGAAAAATAAAATAAACTGAGTCGAGCATGTGTGTTTGTGTTTGCATAGAGAAAAGTCTGGATGAGGCCCACCATGCCAGCAACAGCGGCCATCTCAGAGTAATGCGACTGCACGCGGCTTGCCTTTATTCTTTCTTTGCTAAAATATATTTTCTAATTTTTCCACAAAGTATATTATTTCCTTAAATTACAGGAGTTTGGAATTTGGTCAGATGATGCACAGTCAGGAAAAGGAAGTTGTCCTTTCAAAGAAACAGTTCATGTGTGTGGAGAAAACACAGCCATACCCAAAGGGCAATGTTTTTTTTCCGCCACAGCCTCATTCTTTCCCTGAGACTGGAGTACAGTGGCGTGATCTTGGCTCACTGCAACCTCCGCTTCCCGGGCTCAAGCGATTCTCCTGCCTCGGCCTCTCCAGTAGCTGGGACTACAGGCATGTGCCACCACGCTGGGCTAATTTTTGTATTTTTAGTAGAGATGAGGTTTCACCATGTTGGCCAGGCTGGTCTCAAACTCCTGAGGTCAAGTGATCTGCCTGCCTCGGTCTCGGCCTCCGAAAGTGCTGGGAATACAGGCGTGAGCCACTGCCCCCGGAAAAAGTGCTTATTTTTAATTATGTTTATGTTTTTATTTTAAATAACAGCTAAGCCAATAACATAACGATTTCCTTTGTCCTTGCTAACAAGACCTGCCGATCCACCCATCTCTCCGCACCAGCAGTCTGGAAGAGAAATCTCAAATTAGTTAAGAAAATGAGGTGGCCAAAATTGTTCTTGCTGTCTACCTAACCTCATTCTCCATCAGTCTCTTCATGGAGGAACACGTGAGGACCACACACGTTCTGATTACTCTGATTCTGGGATTAAATGAAAAAAAATGTAGGGAAACTGTAAATCCTAATTCACCATACAAATGTGAGTTTATTATCGTGCTATCATTATCTGTGTGATATCTTGGTTTACCTTTAAGGCAGCCTGAGTTTCAAACCTGCAGTAGAAGGAGTGAAGGCTAAGACGCCCTCCCGCCATGGTCTCTCTGACAACTGCTGGGCTGAGGAGAGTCTCAGACCTCGGGCAATAGACTGAGATCCTAGTCTAACCGCAGAAGGAAGGATGCAGGCAGTGAGAAGCTGAGGGAAGATTTGGAGCAAAGATCGCTGGTGAAAAGGCTCAAGAGTATCTGACCCATTGAAGTCATCATGACAGGGGACGGATGGAAAAGAACAGCTGTAGGATTGTAGGAAAGTCAAAAGTTCTACTAGAATTTCTTGCCGTCTAGAAATGCACACCAACCCACACATGCACGTGCGCACACACACTCCATGTAAACAGTACACACAAGCATGCACGCGGATTTTGTCATGTGCGGGGGCCTATGTGTCCCCTCCCAAATACACACTCCTGGAAGCTCACACTGTTTTCCTAGCTCCACAGCAGGTTAGAAAGTCTGCATGGGTGTCAGCCGGCCCTCCCCGGGCTTCCCGACATTAAAAGTATCAGCAGGTCCATAAACAGGCGAAAACCCTAGAGGCTCGCCTGGACAGCGGGACCTGCTTTTCCCACATCGGGCGCTCACAGATTTACTGCAGCAGGAATGAACGTTGCTCAGAGCATGTTTCTCACCCTCGCTAAACTAATATTTGGTCTCAGTCCCCTGGAACAAAACCCAGCCTCAGTGTCTGCTGAGCAGCCCTGTGCATAACAGAGGAGTCAGGCACGGAATTGGAGCCAAACAGAAAGGAAATGCAGTTCATTTCTCTTTTTCTTGAGTTTTAAAAATAACTCTTTGCCTTCCTAACCCCTGTCAGATCTGACCGAGCATGAGCCCCTCCTCACCTTCCGGAACTTCACCCCCACCCGCACCCTGCACACCCCGCGGCGGCGGTTCAGGCTTCCCCGGACAGGCGGGCCCGGCCCCGGCGCCTTCTCCCCAGCACGAAGTCCAGGGCACTTTTCCCGAGAGACCCTGGGAGGGTGCCCGCGTCTGGACGGAGCGGAGACCCACCTCGTGGGCCCAGGACTCTGCAGTCTTCCGCTGAGCTCAGGGCTGGGACACAGACTAGCGGAGCGTCCCCAGGTGCCCCTCACAGCGCCCGGGGCCGGGCTTCCGGAACACGGGGCCGCCACTGCTCAGGCCTGCCGGGCTCCGAGAGCGGCCCCGCGGTCTGCAGGCCCCACCTCCCCCGCAGGGCGGGCGTCTGCTGCCCCCAAGCGGCCGCCAGCGAGGTCCTCGCGGCCCGGGAGCGGCCTTCCTCTGGGGTGTGGATCCGCATCCCCACCCGCGGGCACCGTGGTAAGTGCAGCTAATTCTGAGTCTCCGCGGGCCCTCCGAGGGGCTGGGGTCACCGAACAGACGTCAGGCTGTCACCTACCAGCCATGCACACTCAGCCGTGAGTGCAGCAGCTCCCACTTTCCCTTCTCCTCCTTGAGTTCAGCGCAATGGAAAGAAGAAAAGCGAACCTGCCAAGCGGCCTAGTCCGTGGCGCGCCCGCCCTGCTAGCGGCGGAGGCCTGTTGTGATTCAACTCCCCAGAACCTTCCTTCTGTGATAACACCTCTGCTACCCACTCAGGGGGAGAATGCAAGACACAGGCCCTGATGTGGGGACGCCATTGAAGAAAATAAAGCCCTCCCCAAATAGGGGTAGAGATAACACGCAAGATGCCCACTAAAATTGGAATGCAGAGAACCCACGAGTAATTTTTTTTTTTTTTTTTTTTTGAAGCGGAGTTTAGCTCTAGTTGCCCAGGCTGGAGTGCAATGGCGCGATCTCAGCTCACTGCAACCTCCGCCTCCTGGGTTCAAGCGATTCTCCTGCCTTAGCCCCTGAGTAACTGGGATTACAGGCGCCCGCCACGGCGCCCAGCTAATTTTTTGTATTTTTAATAGAGATGGGGGTTTCACTGTGTTCACCAGGCTGGTCTCGAACTCCTGACCTCAGGTGATCCACCTGCCTCGGCCTCCCAAAGTGCTGGGATTACAGGCGTGAGCCACCATGACCAGACAGTAATTTCTTAGTATAAGTATTAATATATCTCGAGTGTTGCATAGGACATACTTATCCAAACATTTTTCATTGCATATCTGAAATTCAAGTTTAACTGGGTGTTGTGGGGGGGATGGATTGTTGTTTTGGTGTTTTGTTGTGTTTGTGGGTTTTGGTTTTGTTTCTAACTCCACCAACCGCATCGCCAAATGCCAAGCATCCTATCTGAGCAGGACCAGAGCTCCTGAAGCCCCTTCCCACAGCTGCTGCTCCGCGACACCGTCACAAGTGGGCTAACGTGGAGCAGGCATTTTCCAAGTAGAAGGAAAGCAGTCAGCCGCTGAAGCCGGGGCTGGAGAACGCCTGTGCCTGCTTGGGGCCCTGCAGCCCGCACCTCCTGAGCTCAGTGGGCACCTTAGGACAAGGCACCGCTGGCCCCGGGAGTTGCCTCTTATCTGATCCCGGCCAATATTTTCTCAAAGTCAGACATGAAAAACACTTTTAAGGCCTCAGCATCGCCCAGACATCTGGTATTCATTTTCTTTGGCCTTGATTTGGTCTTAATCGTTTGTAAGGGCCCAGGCATGCACTCCACTATCTGATTTGGGTTCTGCGCCGGCAGCGTTCTGGCCAGGAGAACTAACACCTGCATTTGTGGCAGAGCCGTTTGACACCCACTGCCTCATTTCATCTTCACACATTGGGACACAGCAAGGTACAAAGCAGGACACCCCAGCCCTGGCTGTACCCGGACATTACATGATGGGAGGAGAACTTCCAGAACCCTTCCCCCCAGGCCATGCCCCAGACCAATCACTGCAGAGCCTCTGCGGTGAACCCCCGTCCTGGTTGTCAGAGCTCTCCAGCTGCTCTCCCAGTGCTTCCGAGACGGAGGACGCTGGCCCAGAGGAGTGGTTCTCAAAGTGCAATCCAGGCACCACAGCATGCGCATCACCTGGGAACTCTGTAGAGATGCGCGTTCTCAGGCCCCCTCCCCAAACTGCTGAATCAGAACCTCTGAGTTCTAACCTCTCCCGCTAATTTTGATGTGAACAAATTGAGGATCACTCCATTTTTTTGATGTGAACATTTAAGGATCACTGATGCATATGAAAGCACAGGTGTTGGAGATGAGAGCAGTCCAGCCCCAATTCTAACTCCAGCCACAGGTAGCCTCTCAAAACTCAGATTTCACATCTGTCACAGGAGGGTGATGCCATCTGTCTCACACATAGCGCTGTGGTACAGATGAGAGGAGAGGAGGCGCGTAGGTTGTCTAGAAAAAGCCTGACCAAAGCCCAGTGAATGCGGTGACCAGCCCTCCTGGTTTGCTCCTTAGAGAGGGAGACCCTGGGAGTCCCATTGTACTGGGGTGAGCTGCTCGTCCTATCAGAGAATGTGAGTTCTCTCTGCCCCTGAGGGAGGTAGGGAAGCCTTTCCTGTCCTTTCCATAAGTAGAGACCCTAAAGGCTTGAAGGCACTTACCTGAGGCCCTATACATTCGTGGGACAGCAGGGCTAAACCCTAGTTCCCTGACCCCAGTAAAGGACTCTTCTCTGAACGTGTGTGTCCCGCCTCTGAGTAACACTAATGTGCATTCTAAGCTCCATTTTAGTAATAACGCATTGGGTCCACACAATTTCAATCCACTTGAGATTCAGACCAGGCTAGCTCCACGGGCAGCAACCTAAGCAGTAACACAGTGCCAAGCACTCAGCTGCGTGCCCTCTTCCTAATTTTTGGAAAGGGGTCTCACATTTTCATTTTGTACTGGGCCTCACAAATCGTGTCACTGACCCTGTTTAGAGAGATTTAGTAACTTGCATGAGGCCACCCAACTGGCCAGTGGCGGGGCCTGATGAAAACCCTGGGAGCTGGCTCCAGAACCCGGACTTCCGATGAGGATGCTCTTGTCCCAAGAGTGGACGCTTCTTTCACCGACACCAAGCACACAGAATTTCACATGCTGTGGGGCAGCCTGGAGGAGCTTAAAGCCAGTCCTCACCTCACTGTGAAGGACAAGACCCATTCCTAGCTGTGACGTCACCCACAACGCTTCTTAAAATGCTGACTTTAAAGTGCCCTCGAGCGCGGATCATCTCTGTGTATCAGTGGCATAAAATCACACCCAGTCACTTTTCTCTTCCCACCTCAACTGAGGCAAAATCACTTAGACCATCCCCCAACCCTGTTATATAATAACACCTATGGTAGGCATTGCCAGGGTCTCACCTCTTTCCTGAGGCAGGTAGTCTCCCCCAGATCCCATGACCCAGCTGATGTCCCTGTGCCCATGTGTACTTGAGCCCAGATTGTCCAGAACTGAGAGACAGACACAGGGTAACACCCTGACCCCTCTCCCGTGTCTTCTTTTTCCCTCTGTGACCCAAACCCAAGGTTTTCTCTTCCCTTCTGAACCAATCTCTCATTCCCTGAAGGATTTGCACAGGTGCGGTCACACCTTGGCATGGCTAGCATTAAGGTGGATGTACTTCTCCCCAGCATTTTCAACCAGTGGAAAGAAAAGCTTTATCTCCATTAAAACAACCTCAGATATGTGTCAGGAACCCACCGTGCCGTACATGGGAATGGCAGAATGTCCTGCCCAAGGGGAGGACCGGGATTTTGCCAGCAGGAATTCTGTCATACTCCAGGCAGAATGGACTAGAAAACCCAACCAGGACATCATCCCAGCACATCCAGATCACCGCGCTGATCCTCCAAGGCCAGTGGCCACTCTGCTCTCTGCTCTGCTTTCATGGCCCGGCAGGTCTCACTGTGCCCACAGGACTCTGAGTTCAGGATGGACAGCAGAAGGCCTCCTATGGTGGGAGCTGACAGCGGCAGGGCCCCTGTTGACTGAAGCCGGAAGAAACGGGGAGCAAATACCCCAGTAACATAAGGCAATCCAACAGACAGGGTAAGGGCCAGGCTGTTCATCCACTTAATTCACTTAATTCACTGAATCCACCTTCCCGGATCCAACCTCTTTCTCAGTATGTGACTTTGAGAAAATCGCTTGTTTAACTTTCTACTTTCTTATCTGTAAAGGGGGATGAGGATGATAATTCTAGAATTTCCCCCTAGGATTCAGCAGGAGGAAGAAAAGGCTTGAGCCAGCTTGGAGCTTGAAGCAGTGAGAACAGAAGAGAGGTCTAAAATCGGGGTGAACCAAAACTACCAACTGTTGAGGCCTCCGATTCAACAGTCAATGCAGAGACAGAGACAGAGCTCCTAAAACTCAAAAATACTTCTACCTCCAGTTAATTATTCATTGAGAATTAACAAAGAAGTTGCGGTTTTAGCCACCCCAGGGGTGTGGCTGCGAAAGCCTTGGCTTCGAGCTTTGTTTTTGTGATGCAGCCTTCCACCTCCTCTCTGGATTAATGAATCCACTATTCATTGCTTTTTAACGTGGATTAATTTCATCATTTCCTTCATTTAATTCAACTAAATACCTACAGGCTAACGCTGATCAGGGGAACAGAACACAGCTCTTCTTGCAATACGAGTTTTGTTTGCCACCATTATGGTTTTGCCAGGAGTCTTAAGTGCCCAGCTGCTTTTTTCTCAGCAGAAATGTTGCTTACAAAACAACACATGAGCCTGTGGTTGTGGAGGAAGTACGCGTTCTCATGGCATGGCTTTCCCATTACACAGTCGCCTGTCCACATGGCTTGCTGGGGTGGGAGAAGGCCAGCCTCCAGTTACGTTTGCCCTGGTGAGGCTGGAAGGGCCAACCAAGTGGACATCTTTAATCAATATGGCGGTGGTCTTGCTTAGGAATTGCCAATTCTTACAAGTGAAACATTTGCAGGAGTTACCTCATTCAGAGATGATTGTGGTTCAATCAAAGACTTTCTTTAATGATGAAAAGCAGAAATAACTTTGATGTTGGAAAATCTTCCTCATGCACACAGAAATGCATGAAGGGAACTGCAAATGCTGCAGAATGTGGGAAGAACACCAAATGGACAGGGGCAGGTCCTGTGTGTTTCAACTGCTTTCCAGCTCCAGACAAGAGGACCTCTGTGTCAGAAAGAAGAGAGTGAGAGCGAGGCAGGACTTATGGGTTTCAGTGAGATTTAGGCCCTGTTGGTTTTGGATGCGGAGCACCAGAGTGAGTTATGCAGACTGCTCTTATCAGTCCTGCGAGCCCAGCTCATGGCTTGGCCAGCGGCTCCTAAAATGAATGACCCAGATGGCAAAGTGATGAGTTGCTTCCTTAACTAGCGCTCTTTTCTTTAACAGTAATTTTATAGCCTGGATTAATTGTGGTAACATACACATGACAAAAAATGTAACCATTTTTAAGTGGGCAGTGCAGTGGCATCAAGTACGTTCGCATCGCTGTGCAACCATTGCCACCATCCGCCTCCAGAACTCTTTTCATCTCGCAAAACAAAAACTCAGTATCCATGAAACACGAACTCCCACCCGCCAGCACAGCCCTGGAAGCCCCGGCAACCACCCTTCTACTTCCTGTTTCTATGAATTTGACTGCTCCAGATTCCTCATATGGGTGGAATCACACGGCATTTGTCTTTTGCTTTGCAGCCAGCTTATTTCACTTAGCATAATGTCATCGAGGTCCGTTCATGTTGTAGCATGGGTCAGAATTGTCCCCCTTTTTAAGACTGAATCATATTCCATTGTGTGAATATGTAATTCACCATGTGTGAGTAGATCCAGTCATCTGTCAGTGGACACTTGGATCGCTTCTACTTTT